ACCTATACCTAAGATAGTTTAAAGCTGTTTGGAACTAAGGTAATGCTCTTCCTTTTAAGCAAGCAACAAGCTGCAACACAGCTATGAATACAACTTGACATATTTCACTACTATTTGATAGTATTACTGTCAGAAGGTGCCTAATAAGTGAATTTCCTTATACATTCATAGCAGACCAGAAAGCAAGATGTATCTGAGGACAGGTAGAAGATGATCTCCAACATAACTATAGTTATTCAGTTGCCGGTAGGTACTGAGAAAGGATTGGGATTACAAATATCACAGTCCTATTATTCAGGTCTGGTGTGAATTTTCCATTTTCCCTCTCCAATTTCATAGGCATTTATGAGATTAAAAAAATTGTGACAGTCTTATAAAAAAAGCAATTCTTTCATTGAGATGTGTTGTCACTATTGAACTAAGTAGCTAAATGTGCTTTTTAAAAATTACATTAGTAAAATATATGGAAGTATAATTTGCATAGCAGGTTCAACCTTAAAAACTGGATTGTTACTTTTCCATGGAAATGACAGTAAATGATCTTATATCATTGTTCTTCAGACATCTCATGTTCTAATTTTAAAGAATTAGTAGTCAAGTTGTATTATACTTTATAATAAGAAGCAAAAAGGGAAAAAATGTAAAATAGAACAGCACGTGGCTACCCTTATCTAACAATGTACATGACCACTGAAAGAACATCTATCCTTCTCCCCACCCAGAAATCTCTAATATTTGGCTGAATCAAAGGTCACAACAAGCTCAAATCTCTGCCAATGAAATTATTGCAAAATTTCCCAGAGCCTCACTTTTTCAAATTTAATAGAATAGGTAATCAACTGCATTCTGATTTATCTTATACATCCATTCCAACCTTATGTTGGTTTCTCAGAGGCTTTTGATTACCTAGATGCATTGGCCCAATGAGTTCCAATACCTCTGGACAGCTCACTCTCAGGAAAAGCAATGTTCTTTTTTGTTTTTACTCCATTGTATTGTTATCCCATTTACCTCCCAGAATTCCTTCTGGTAGATGAGCAGCTATCTAAGTTTGTTGAATAAATACACATTCAAGTTACATAAATAAACAGATTCTACTTGGCATGTTCTATATTTTATATTAGTTGTGATTCACACAAATATTGCATGTGAAAGATCTGATGTACTATCACTAGCATCTCTAGATGTAGCTTAAGAAAGCTATAATACATGATGCTCTAAAAATTGCTGTTAGTCAATGCAAGCAGCAGTGGGTTTGATGGACCTGTAGTCTGATAATAAAAGCCAGTTTCTTCCTGTAAAGTACCAATTACAGTCTTGACATTTTAGATATCCTTTTAAAGCATAAGAACAAATTGAGCCATAGAACTATGCACAGTAAGGTGCACAAATTTCATTACACTAAAAGCCACTCCAAAAGTGGATAAACTGGATCCTAAGAGTAGACAGATCTAGGCCACAAAGGTAGACATGGCCACAAGTAACTTCTTTGAAAAATTATACCAAACTGGAAAATAGAAACATTCAAGTCTATAAACTCTCAGCAATACGATCAATAAATGAGTAGGATCAACTATGTAATTCATTATATAAAATTGATCTTTAAAATGTAATTTCCAATCCCCTCCCAGATAAAAGATATCAAAAGATTGTTATTTGTCTCTTCCTTCCTTTTCTTTTTATATAAAATACTCGTTTCAGATACAGAACATACATGTTCTGTGTTCTGTCACACACACACACACACACACACACACATGAAACTTCCTGACAGTTAGAACAATTAACCAGTGGAACAACCTGCCTCCAGAAGCGGTGAATGCTTCAACACTGGAAGTTTTTAAGAAGAGACTGGACAGCCATTTGTCTGAAATGGTATAGGGTTTCCTGCCTGAGCAGGCGGTTGGACTAGATGACCTCCAAGATCCCTTCCAACATTATTATTACTATTACTATTATTATTATTAATATTAATACTGTTTGTATCTCACTTTCTCAAAAATGAGAAGTGAAAAGGAGTACTGAAATCAGGTAAGGGAATGAAAATAGATATCTAACAGTGGGATGAAAAATCAGTAATCAAGGAAATGTCCACTCTTCTTCCACCTACAATAAAAACATCTTATTTTCCCTATGCCTAGCACACTTGAAAAAAGGAAGTTTATTCTTTCCCATTTTATGAAGATAGAACAAAAGGTTTTAAAAACATAACCAGGAAATAATTTAGGAACCTCCTGTATTTTTATTCTCTATGTAAAATCCTGGGATTTGTTCCTTCTTTTGATTGATCATGCAAGTAAGAAACCCAGCAGCTGCACACCGAATTTACAGTCCACAATCCTTGTTTTCTCTCTCTCTGTCTCTCTCTGAAGAAAAACCCAAATTCCAAACTATGAGATGTGGAAAAGAAAAACCAGCAACAACAAACACCTCTAAGGAGATGCTCTACAAAAATGTTGTGTGGGAAGGCAGATGTTTTCTGTAGGCTGCTCTACTTTGCAGGCAGACAAAATGTTACTAGAGATTGTGTGAGGATGAAAAAGGAGGGCAGGACTGATGAAGAAAGGCAGAGAAACACCATTGTGAGAAAATAGTAGAAATGGGAGGGATGTTGGGTTAATAAATGAGGAAATCAGACAAGAGGAAGAAAGGGTGCTGAAGGAGACAAAATAGTCAGGAGACATAGAAAAAAATGAAACAGAAAATATAACACGCACTCAGAAAGAGAATGAAAAGATTAGAGAGCTGAAAAGTCAAGAAAAAGGTGCTGAGGGATAGTAGCAGTGGCAGGAAATATAATTTCCAGAAATTGTTATCCACGTCTTGACTGACTGACTGTCTGTCTGTCTAGTTTAGAATCTGCCTGATTCGAGAATAACTTTAGGCAGATTACAATGAAAATAGAAAACTAATAAAAAAGAATCTAAGAGTCCAGACAAACTATACAAGGCAGAGTTCCATAATACTTTATCTCAAGGCCTGGGAAATTAAAGATTTCTGGAATAGCATCAGATAGAAGCTAAATGGATCTGTCTAGAATGAAGTGTGTCAGAAAAGACCCTCCCTAGTTTCTTGAGCTTTAAAAGAGATCCATGGGGGGATGGGAGATAATTGTATTTTCAGACATTGCAAGATTTACCCTTGCAGGGTAAACCAGATAGGAATCACAACCAGATGAATTAATTGTACTTTATTGTAAAATTATACTGACAAAATTTCACATGTCTGAAAGTGACTGTATTTTCTTAAAAAAATTAAAGAGCAACCTAAAAAAGGGACATCTCTGACAAAGATTCATAAAATTTTGTTTGTGTTTATAACTCTGTTTTACAAAAGAAAATTCAAGAACAAAATGAACAAAAAAATACATAAATCTAAAGATCACCTTTCCGAATAAAGAACTGTCCTTTATAATAAGAAATCACTGCAGGTGTAAATCAAGTAATAAATAATACATTATTAAGGAAACTTAGTGGATTTTATAACTTGCAATCCATCCTCAAATCATCCTCAATTTTATTTGGTTCAGTCTCCTGTCTCTTCAACTGTCCCTTATATTTGTGTTAACTTTCTTTATCATGTTTTTTTTTCTACTAAATTTGAACTGATTTATAAAAATACTGATATTGTTTTGTCAGATTCACCTCAGTGACCATTATTAGTATTAGTATTTTTTCATCAATCATCAGATTCAAGTCCCTTCGCACAAGAAATCGAAGTCCAATCCATCTTGAATTCCGTTGATTCTGATCTGCCACCTATTTGCTTTGACCACTAATAGTTCAGATTTTATAGAGAACATTAGCATACAATAAGCCTGTATTCATCTGAACTGTCTGGACTCCTGATTTCCTGTGCTTGACAAGTAACCTTTGTTCAATTTCAGTTCCAACACAGTGCCTTCAAATAATATTTCTAACTCCAAGTGCCTTTGTTTTCCTATGCACCAAGCCAGAGCTAAGCACGTTTTCTCTACAACATCTTCTTTTCACAAAACCCCTTTCTGAATTATCCAAGTTTACCAGCATTTTTAACTGATACCTGATATTCTCCTCACTCTCCCACCAAATCATTAATTCTATCATTGCTCATCTCACCAAATCATTAATTCTATCATTGATCATCTAAGAGAGCTCTTATACTTTCTAGATATAAAAATGTCACTGTTCACGTGACAAGTTCATTGCACATGTTACTATTGTCAATTATGATTACTGAGAAATAAATAAACAGTAATCAAAAAGGTTTGGTGACTATTTATGAATTCTGGGGAATTTTGGGATTTCTCCTATAGGTAATTTGGCAACATATTAAAACTTAAACGTATTAAAACAGAATAACCTTTGATACTGTGAAGCCTAAGAAAAGCAAAATGACAATATCACATCTTAATCCAATAATCCTTAATTATGACAATCCATAAAGGATCCACAACATTTCTTATTACACAAATATCTGAAGTAAAAAATTAAGAGTAGAATGAAATCAAAGAAGGGAGAAAAAAAATGATACTGACATTTAAAAAATGAGATGAAATAATGACTTCACTGGTAAACATTGGATAAGCTAGTTGGTGTTTGCAAATTTATAGTTGTTTCTTCAAATCAAAGCCATATGGTTTTGGTTTTATGGTGTACCAATTCTCCACCTAGCCTACACAATATAGTACTCGCAGTAAGCATCTACTGGAAAATAGAACTTATGCATTATATATCTATTACCGTACTTACAACCTGTCTGCTTACCTGGATAATATAGTTTCATTCAATTTCATATAAAGCAAAAAGTTCCTCAAGAGTACACTTTCACTTTTTATATTTATTCTAAATGATATTCAGCACATCCCTGAAGTTTGTACAAATGAGAAGGTAATAAGGAATGCTAGGCACAAAATCTCTATGTTGTAAAATATGATTTGGTAACATTTTCATGTACTGTTAACCATCTTACAAAAGTATATTGTAACAGAGGTAAGCAAGCAAAAAAATAAATACACGTACCTGTAATTTTATCTCTTACAAGCTTGCAGGATTCTATTTCACCAATGCTCCCAAAAAGGCTCCTGAACTCTTCTTGGGTCATGTTCTGGGGTAAGTAGTTGACTAGGAGGTTGGTTTTGCTGTCATCTGTAGCTGCCCCTGTCTGCATAGGGGAAGGGCAATTTCGGCTGTTGCTGGCAGGACCATTGGTTGTATTGGATGTAGGGCCATTTGACACCTGAGGCTCCATGGTGCTAATTATCTATGCAGAAAGAAAAGATGGAAAATATCCCTTCAATCCTCAGAGATATAGTTGCTATTTAAAACATACTTACAAGTGAACAAATAGGTAGCATTCATGGCCAATTTAAGAGAGTTAACAAAAAAAAATCAGCTTGGTTCTTCTGCTATTGTTATAAAGTAGGTCATGCTAGTCTTTGGCAGAAAGCACATAGTAAGACGCATAGACAAATACAACCTTCCCTTCTTTTCCCCTATTGGTTTTTTAATACAAAGCTAGTTTTTCTTTTCATGATGCATTTGTAATGTACAAATTTAACTATGATCCAAGGTATAATAACAGTGATTAAAATTACAGTTCTATTTAAGTGGAAGAGTCTCATGAAGAGAAAAAAGCTGAAAAAGTAAATGTACATTAGCTGTTTAATTACTGTGACACCTAGTATTGTGACAGGTTTATTTGGGCCATTCAAACTAAGAAAGCTATTACTGTGATATTATGAGCTTGAAGCAACAGACTTTTTGTCTTATCAAGGACACTTATTTACATCAGCAAAGCACTTATATTCTTCAACTATTTTGGCCACCAAAGATTTCTTTTGATTCTTTATTAAATAGAACTGAAACTGCAAATCACAGAATCAAAGTTTTAGAGTGAAAGGCAACATTTCACCCATCAAATCCAACCCGTTTGGTTCATAAAACCAAATAAAAGGATTTCAACAATAGCTGTTTTGCTCTGCTTAAACACCACTAGTGAGGGATGGCTTAGCATCTCTTTGGGTAATTGATTCCACTTCTGAATTGTTGTTACTGTTAGACGCATTTCCTTTCCAACATCCAATGGTAAGCTGACATCCTGTAACTTAATCTATCATTTTGTGTTTTACACTCTGAAGTGATACATATTTTCTATACAATAGCTTTTCAGAATCTGAAGAATGCTGTCATCTCTCCACTCAATCTTCTCAAGGCTAAAGGTTCCTTTGTCCTTCAATCTCTCTTCATAGATCTGTTTGTAGTTCCTTGATCATCGTTCATTTCTGTAATTATCAAATTTTATTTGTCTTCTAGGATGTTAGTTATCCCACCCACTTTGTGTCACCAACAAATATGATAAATGTCAGGGCTGCCCTAGGGTTTGTTTTAATGTGATGCTTTGCATGGTTTTGTTCCAGATCTTGCCTAATGTCAGGGCTGCCTCCATTCAATCCCTAGGAAAGAAAAACCCTTGGCTCCGTGGATTTAGAGAAAAGGTACTTTTACTAAGAAAGAACTGAATACAGCAGAAGTCAGGCAAGAACTGGAACAAAACTGTGCAAAGCATCAAACTGAACCAAACCCTAGGCCCATCCCCTTGTAGCTACAACCAAACCCTAGGCCCATCCCCTTGTAGCTACAACCAAAGTTCAATCATCAACCAGAAGATATTTCGGGAAAGTCTCTGAGTTAGGCACACTGTCTCTGCCTTCTGAAGCCAGATGAAATGGCAAAGTCTGAGCTCGCTATTGCAAAGCTTCATGAAAATTTTCCACTGTCTCCACCTGCATACCTCCCTCAGAATGGCTCCCCACTTCCTCCCATTGCTAACAGTTGACAGCAAGCAAGGGAAGATGGAGGCTGACAGGAAAGCATTCTTTCCACCTCTTATTTAAGTTATTTATAAAAATGTTGAAAACTGTAGGATCCACGCCTGAACCTTATGGCAATCTACTAAGTATTTCATCCAGCCTAATGAGAAAACTGTTGATCACTTTTCAGGTAAGATTTTCAGTTCAACTATATATCCATTTAAATGTTAGCCTATGTAGTCCGAACTTAACTAATTTGTGAATGAAAAAGTTACGGGACTATTAAATGATTTGCTGAAATCAAGACACAGTGCCTCTATAGTACTCCCACAATTTATCAGAGAAATTATCAGATTAAAAAAAGTTATAAAATTAATCTGGCAAAACTTAAGATAGCATTTATATACTGTATAAGTCAATATTGCATAATTAAACTTAAATTAACACAATTAAACTTCACCTGTTGAATAAAAAAGTGATTTTTACAAGATTCAGAAACAATGTAACAAGACTTATAAACTATTTTTAAGAATATATATCTTTTAAAATCACAGTGTTCTTTATACAGCTCAAAAGGGTAAAGTTTCTTAAATATTGTAATTTATACCTATGACATACAACACAACATGTAAAGTTAATGATTGCTTAGGACGCTTATAGATTTCTACAGCTGCCTTTATTCAAGGACAACCAACACTTTTATTGCCTGTTTCTCCCTTACCTGCTGTGGGGAAAAAAAGATAAAATCCTTATAGCAGTAGATATATAACAAGATATGCTATTTCATTTATTTATTTAAAACATTTGTATAGCCAAATATATTATATTTGTGTACTACCTACTTCATAGGTTCTAGGAGGTTTACATCTACAAATGTGACAAGATATGGTGATGATTAAATTAAGCTACCAAGATGGCTAATCCAGCCAATCCATAGAAGGTACACTCAGCCTTATGTGAAACTTTACTCTTCAAATGCTCTGTAGAAAAGCAGTCTTCACTGTTTTTGTGAATGACATCAGTAAAGAAATTTCAGATACCGTGGGGCAAAAAAGTATTTTGTCAGCCACCAATTGTGCAAGTTCTCCCACTTAAAAAGATGAGAGAGGCCTGTAATTGTCATCATAGGTAGACTCAACTATGAGAGACAAAATGGGAAAACAAATCCAGACAATCACATTGTCTGATTTGGGAAGAATTTATTTGCAAATTATGGTGGAAAACAAGTATGTGGTCAATATCAAAAGTTCATCTCAATACTTTGTTATATATCCTTTGTTGGCAATGGCAGAGGTCAAACATTTTCTGTAAGTCTTCACAAGGTTGGCACACACTGTTGCTGGTATGTTGGCCCATTCCTCCATGCAGATCTCCTCTAGAGCAGTGATGTTTTGAGGCTGTTGCTGGACAACACGGACTTTCAACTCCCTCCAAAGGTTTTCTATGGGGTTGAGATCTGGAGACTGGATAGGCCACTCCAGGACCTTGAAATGCTTCTTACGAAGCCATTCCTTCGTTGCCCGGGCGGTGTGTTTGGGATCATTGTCATGCTGAAAGATGCAGCCACGTTTCATCTTCAATGCTGATGGAAGGAGGTTTGCACTCAAAATCTCATGATACATGGCCCCATTCATTCTTTCCTGTACACGGATCAGTCGTCCTGGTCCCTTTGCAGAGAAACAGCTCCAAAGCATGATGTTACCACCCCCACGCTTCACAGTAGGTACGGTGTTCTTTGGATGCAACTCAGCATTCTCTCTCCTCCAAACACGACGAGTTGTGTTTCTACCAAACAGTTCTACTTTGATTTCATCTGATCATAGGACATTCTCCCAATCCTCTTCTGGATCATCCAAATGCTCTCTAGCAAACTTCAGACGGGCCCGGACATGTACTGGCTTAAGCAGGGGAACACATCTGGCACTGCAGGATCTGAGTCCCTGGCAGCGTAGTGTGTTACTGATGGTTGCCTTTGTTACGTTGGTCCCAGCTCTCTGTAGGTCATTCACTAGGTCCCCCTGTGTGGTTCTGGGATTTTTGCTCACCGTTCTTGTGATCATGTTGACCCCACGAGGTGAGATCTTGCGTGGAGCCCCAGACCGAGAGAGATTATCAGTGGTCTTGTATGTCTTCCATTTTCTAATTATTGCTCCCACAGTTGATTTCTTCACACCAAGCTGCATGCCTATTGCAGATTCAGCCTGGTGCAGGTCTGGTTTCTGGTGTCCTTCGACAGCTCTTTGGTTTTCACCATAATGGAGTTTGGAGTGTGACTGTTTGAGGTTGTGGACAGGTGTCTTTTATACTGATAACAAGTTCAAACAGGTGCCATTAATACAGGTAATGAGTGGAGGACAGAGGAGCCTCTTAAAGAAGAAGTTACAGGTTTGTGACAGCCAGAAATCTTGCTTGTTTGTAGTGACCACATACTTATTTTTTACCATAATTTGCAAATAAATTCTTTCCAAATCAAACAATGTGATTGTCTAGATTTGTTTTCTCATTTTGTCTCTCATAGTTCAGGTCTACCTATGATGACAATTACAGGCCTCTCTCATCTTTTTAAGTGGGAGAACTTGCACAATTGGTGGCTTACTAAATACTTTTTTGCCCCACTGTATATTGTTCTAGAGAAAGATATATAGCAGGACAGGGAGAGTGGGCACACTACTTATCCAAATGAAGCTGAACTATTACCAACAGTGTTTTGTTCCGTGCCTAAGCTAAAACCCAGATTGGAAAAAATCCAGAATGGCAAAGTAATAGCCAGAACCATTGGCATGTATCTGTCAGAAGCTTGTCATGCATTTAAAATTCAAAATTTACATTAGACATATCCATATACACAATCCTTAAAGCATTTCTACATTACCATAATTCTTTGAAGAACCTCACATTTTTCAAAAGACTAACATGATTACTTCTCCAAAACCTGGATTATATGAATCTCAATTGAATTACAGTAATGACTGGAAAATCAAAACTGCAACTATACTATGAAGGACATCTGGACCATACATGGAGTAAATATAGGTAGTCCTCAAGAAATAGCAGGCCATTTAACGACAATTCAAAGTTAAGACTGACATCTCCAAAACTACCTATGACTCTATTTCAAAGTTATGACAACTGAACTGGCTCTGTGGCTTATGACAGACCATAGGGATGCTGCAGAATTCCCCTGCCTCTCTTCCCCTATCCTGCTTCAATGAGACCTGCAGCACTCAGGCCTTTCCCATGCCTCTGGGAAGCAGCAGCCATTTTCAGGCAGAAATGTGGTTGCTTTTAGAGCTTTCTCTTCCAATCAGCTGATCACCGATCATCTGACCATCTCTCCTGCCTCTGGCTAGGCTTCAGGAAGCTGGCTCTTACATAAAATGTGTTAGCTTCAGGACAAGCTTCCCCAAACTTTTCCTTCTTAGCCCTCTCCCTCCCTCCTTCCCTCCCCCAG